CTTTACCAGTACTCGAACACCAAGCAATTTTTCCGGTGGGAAAAGCACAATTACCTTAACCATGAAGTTAACCAAGAACTCTACCTAAGAGATCTTTATGTTTGTATTTATTCTTTTGAACAATTTCGGCCGATACGTTCTCTAACCTACTTTTAGCAAAAGTTGGTAATCTTTGTAAATAATCTTTCTTTTTCCTCTTCATACGTTTTAAAAATGTTAGCTTTCTTTCCTATTCCAAATAGAGGTTGGACCTTTGTGACAAAGCTATGTTAATGTTTCGTCACAAAAATTCATCGGAGATGAAAAATTTCTCTACTGTATAGTTTGTTTGAATTTCTGGGATGAGGAGTTATCATTATTTATACTATGTATATCCCCGTCTTTGTTGTTTTTATCATAACGTTTCGGCCGTTGTACCCTAGAGCCTTCATCAGGTGTATACCGATCTGGGTTAACCTATAGCAAATTCTGAACTGAACCTTTTATTCAATTTATGGTGGTAGGCTGTTCTAGTTTCACTGTCCCTGCTTCGGGATATCTCGTCTATCACTTATTTTTAATACTGCTTGCATGTTTCCACTGAGTCCAAGTCCACACTGACCGGCACAGGGATTGAACTCACAATTATCAGTATGTCACCAAATTCACAAAGCAACGTTTTAATCTGCTAATTTCCCGTAGGCTAATTCTCTGTGGATAACTTGGAGCCTTAAACCTAGCCTACCTTCTGATGAGTGCTGCTGCTGCTTGTCATGCTTGTCTGCACTCACGGAAACTATTCAGTTTTGTTACAGCTGCTGCTGCTGCTGCTGCTGTTGAAGACTTGCTATTATTTGTCTTTCTCTAACGTAATATTGGATAAACACTGTGATAAACATATTTTTCACATATACTATATCAGTATCAAACCATGATGTGCATACCAGATACACGCTGTCTCTCACAAACAACATTAGGCTAATCAATACTGTTATCCAATCCGTTAGTTGATGTTTACATACACCTCTGATAAAATGCGAAATAATACTTCTTTTCCGCCATTTATTACGTTTTTGAATAAACTTATTATCTGCCATTCATTAGTTGGCATCACAGAATTATGTTATTCCTTTACCTTTGTTTTGGTTTTCCTCTACTTCTTTCATCAGGCACCATACTTTCAAGGCATAAGGTTTTGGATTGTTTCAAAGATTTACTAAGGATCATATTGAAGTGTGAAATCAAATTGGTTACATTTCTAAGAGTGGATATTTCCACTATTTTCATCTGTCTATCAGTTTATAATCTGTTATGATGCACGTCATATGATCTTGGAATGTTTCAATTTTAGCAGAAAGGTTTTGATTCCATGTCACACAATCTAAACCATATAAAATAACTGGAACAATGTTATGCCCTAATACTTTTCGAAATTTTACAATGCTAGAGAAAGGAAGTTTTACAGAAATTGTGGGTAGTCAGAAGTGATTCAGCACTTTCAACTTAAAATATCTAATTTTTTCTTTATTTCTACTACTGTTTTATCTTGCATCGTATTCATATTTACCAGTTTACATATGTGATAAATATATAAAATCTTTTCTATATTTAACTTATCAGCACCCTATTATTACAAGTATAGTATACACGCATTTTCTCTAATCAAAATTCCCCCCGGGTATGATGATAAAATACATCCGGCAGGAAGGTCTCTGATCGGGAGGTTTTGAGGAACGTAGAACCATCTTTTAATTGCTCTTATTCTCAGGCCCACTCTGACCTGGGGTAGTAGCACCTGTTAGGGTCTCAGCTATGGGAAAATAGTTATCCCCTCAAACTGTGATCAAAACACTATGAAAGTATAAAAAATATTTTTTTACAGTAAAAAAAAACAACAGTGCATTTTTGAAAAAGAAATATTACCAGCAATACATTTGACTCTCGACGAAAAGCCTTCTTTACAAAAATATATCAATGAAACCTGATCTATAAACTGATTTCTTACAAAGAATACATATTCTATTCATAAGAACCTATCCTAAAAATCATCGGCATTAAATAACCCACTGAGGTGTTGATATGCCGTAAAACAAAATAAACCAAACCAAATCTTACCAAAAGTTAATCGCCATTGTCCTCCTTTTTTTTCTCTCAGAGAATTCTTTTGTAGCTTACGGATTTGCTTCTTTTTTTTAATCCTTTTGTTTTGTTTTGTTTTTTTACTTAGATTTATTGTTATAAAATTAAAACTAAAATTGCCACAAATTTTCGATTTCAAGTTCTTTGGAAAAGTAAGCAGGTCTATAGCGAATTAAAGAGAGAAAAGTGTTTGGTCAGTTCCAGCTGTTGTTGGGGTCACAATGTCAGTCTATGGGTTGTAAAGCAAATTTTTAAACTGCTGTTTTCCTAGCCAGGCAATAGACTGGTCGCAGCTGGAAGAGTTAGTCATTTTTTTTTTGTACAATCATCGATCTGAGAAATTCAATGCTAGATTGGATGGTCAAATGCGGATTCATGTTTACAGTGATATCCAGGTTAATGTGCTCAGGGAAATGAAGGAATAGATTTAAGTAATAGTAATTAAGTTTATTGTCGGTATTTAAAATTCACCTTATAAATCCATGTCTTTTGTGTGAGTTAGTGACAATAAAGCAAGTTTTTTTATCTGAACTTCGTGCTCTGCTATTAGGATGAATCGTGTCTCTTCCCTCACACACATTGAATCAGAGTAGACGATTTTTCATCTGGCCTCGTGGTTAAAATATATCGAGGTACTGGGTCTGTTAGTGTTGAAAATCATAGGGGTAGTTTGAAATTAATATCGTCTGAAGCCCCAGGGCGTCATCCCTTCCAGCTCAGACAGTACCTCTCCGTCGGGATAAGATTGGGGTCATTACATGTCGCCTAAGGATTCGTTTTTTTTTTTTTTTTAAATCGGTATCACCCCATGCAAGGCAGCAAAGCCACTAAGACACAAGAGGTTACAGGGTGTAGAAGAATTAGGAACAGAAACATTAATAATGAGCGGGTAGACGAAAGAGTAATCAGGAGGACAGTAGATAGCCATTGATATTGAATTTAAATTTTTGCAGATTAAAGTTGGCTGGAAAGCATCCGGAAGAGAGTTCTACAATCAAGAACGCGAGAAAAGAAACTGCTAGTATAGAATTTACTGTTACATCCAGCCAGCTGAGGTGTAAATTGATGAGATCTCGACGCCAGTCTCGTACCGCGCTTAAATTAAAAAAATGTCTAGGTACCTTAACGAAGAGCTCATCCGAACAATTACCGTGAAAATATTTATAGAAAAGGCACAGGGAGGCAACCTTACGGCGGTGTGAATGTGACTAAAACCGATCTGCCATATCAGGACCAATAATATTGCTAATTCTTATTTGGATTTTATCAAGGAGCTCAAGGTAAATAGCAGGGGCACTGTACCATATATGGAGACAATATCCTAAGTAAGGACGAATAGTAGACTTAAAAAAATGGTGTCTTCAAAAGGGAAGTGACGGGGAGTATTGAGCAATTTTTGAACGCCTTTGAAAATCCCACATTAAACTCCGAACTTATGTCATTTTCTGCTGTGACATGAGCGTGCATACCTACTGTTTGTAAAAAAAAAAAAAAAAAAAAACAACTGAGACTGAAGAATATTGATAGAAAAAAGGGTTTGGTTAAAAAGTTTGAGAACGACTATGACACCTGTGGAAGGCTACAGTGTACAATGCCGAAACGTTTTTGACTATAAAAAGCAAGGTGACCGCGATGGACCAAATAATAAAGCGTTACTGCACATGATTAAAATCATAATAATCTTGTAGTGCTGAAAATTCATATACTATGATTCAGAGGAAGAAACAGACAAGCAACACAAAAGGTGAATAATACAGGTGTGTCTTAACTGATATGAAATATTCCTCAAGCATGAAAAGTTGATTGAGAAAAATCTACACCTGTGAATTGAATAAAGTGTTTGATATTCAAAGGAGTTTACTGAACATGTAGACAGACACCTGATTTCTTTTCATTCATTTGTTTGTTTTTATGGCTTATCAACCCTTTGTGGGTTATTTAAAATCTGGTCCCCTTGCAGTTGGGTGTTCAATTTCTGGGTCTGGTAGAGCTGAAAAATCATAAACTCTTGTTTAGTGGAAGGAACAGACAGGCAACACAAACATGAATAAGACCAGTGAGTATTAACTGATATGAATTATCTCCCCTAAGCATGGAAAGTGAATTGAGAACAATATATCCCTGTGGGGTCAGTTCGAAATTTCAAAATGTTTACAAATTCCAATGACAGACTCCTGAAGAAGGTCATTGGGTACAGTGACCAAAATAACTATAAAAAGTAAAATGAGCGTGCTGGGCTAAATAATAGCGTGTTGTTGCACTTGATTAAAATCATAATAATGTTATAGTACTGAAAAGTCATATACTAAGGTTCAGAGGAAGAACTGTTCCTCTAATTTTATATTCGTATTTTTATAGGCAGGCAGTCACGTGATAGGAGGCATGGTGGTGTAATGGATAGCGGCTCAGATTGAGGAATCGGAGAGCCGAGTTCGAATTTCACTCGTGCTAATAACCCTTGGGAAAAGTATGAATCGTCTTCTTCTCCTCCCATGGGTAAATAGCAGGACAGACCGGGTTGCCTTGGATGTCAAATGGTCTACCGCAGAAAGAAATGGCAACCTACTGCGGGAAAAAAAAAATTATACATGACTGCCTTATCAGTCATTTATCGAAAGATACATGATCGCCTAAGCGTGTATCACGCATGGCACATGACTGAATTTTACTATATACGTACAGCATATTGTTGGAAAATCCTTGGTAATTATAATAAAGGTTTCAACCACATATATTATTTAAAATTATATAATAATTTTTATGCAAGGTTTCTATGAGACATTTAGGCGTATGTGAATATAACGAACCTAAAGGAAATTTGAATTAACCTCTCTGATAAAAATTCCAAACTATTATCAGTTACACCACCCGCACATCCAAACTTACAGCACCTGGTATTCTCAAGCGGTCACCCATCTAGGTACTGACCAGGCTCGACGTTGTTTAACTCTGGTAATCGTATGGGAACCTGTATTTCAACGTGATATACCCGTAAGCATAATTAATAGTTTTATCGTATATTGTTGCTGCTATAATAGTAATAATGAAGAATGTATTGAACCAGGGTGCTGTAATAAAAAAACACAATAAAATTAATGGTAACATAATATCGCGATATGTAAACCTACTTAGAAAAGACACTAGTAGCCTTGTTTCGGAGGAATCAATGAATGTGGTTTACTATGAAGTGGACAAGGGAAGAATGATAGATAAACTAAGTCAGGAGTGTAGAAATTAGGAGCGACAGACAGAAAATAAAACAAGGTTTTTGTAACAAAGAACAACAAACTTATACAGCAATATTAACCCTCCATCTACCAAGAAAACCGACTTCCATTAATTACCTTCCGTGTCTTCTGGAACTATTTCTATTTTTTTAAAAGTATTCAAATCTTTTGCATTTTTTATATTCGGTATGTAGAATTATAGATGAACAAAGAAATAACAATTTTAATCAAAATTTATTCACTTAAGCAGAAAAATTACATTAATCTTTGCTCTTAGTTTAAAATCATAAACTTAATTCAAATTACATTTTTTTTAAATTACAATTCATTGCTGCATCTTGCACATAATATTTTCAAATGGCTTTGACAGAGATGTTTTTGGCAAATATGACAGTTTGCTTTTTCTATCTATTTAAGATCACACAAAGTGAACCTTTTTTTCTTTTTCTCATTGGATGGTTCCTGGCCAGTGTATTGCTCACTAGAGTTTGTAGCTGTATTAATAACTACCCGTCCTGAGTATGACGATAAACTACATCCGCGTCCTGGGTAAGACGATATACTACGTGCAACAGCAAAACCTCTGATCAGGAGGTGTTGAGGATCGTGCAACCACCTCTTAATTGCTGGTGTTTTTGCTTTTGCTGAAAGTGTAAAAATAGGTTTTAATACCAGAAGTTCTTTGTAGAAAGTTATTACCAGCAATAAATTTTTAAGGAAAAAATTATTACATTATTATTATTAAAAATTATTACCAGCAATTATTACCAGCAATTTTTGCAAAATCTTTGAAAAAAAATTACTAGCAATACATTTCTGGGAAAAAATATATCACCAGCAATAAAAATTGTTAGCATTAAATAACCCATTGAGGTTGATATACCGTAAAACAAACCAAACCAATCAATAACTGCAAGACCCGAATTCCTTCAGCATTTGTTCATTTTTGTATTATTTCCAGGAGATTTAGTTTTATGAACAATATAAATGATGAAAGAATTATAAGATCTTGCAAAACATGAAGGTCTAGGCTTTTGATGTAAAACGTTGTAGGATGGAGTTTTTCGTTATACATTTTCAATTGGTTTAGAAGACTAAATCTCAGACTTATCCTTCGAAGAATACTTTTCATTCATCATTGAATGGTTTGAAGAATAATTTCTCTCAGTTTTGTTGTCATCATTCATATCCTCATCCGATTCTGAATAAGTAATGCTGACATTATCACTTTCATTATCATCTTAGAAAAAGAAAATGGCGCCTATTTTGAATGGACGATATTTTTTATCTAATTAAAAATTTCAACTATGGGTGCAATGGACCCACTTGGTAATAGGAGAAGTAGTCATCCACCAAAATTTTAATTTTGTTCTAAATTTATTTCCCTTACGTAGATGACAGAAAATGAAGAAAAAAGGAAAGTCACAAAAAATAATTTGGATGGAATAACTATATTATATAGGAATAAAGTGTCGCTGCCGACACTTGAATTTGAACATAGATCGCCAGTGAGCAAACATGGGCGATCCCATCATTGAATTAAGTAGACCACGTGACCATAGAGGAAACGCATATATGTAGGAAGTCGTGTGACGTCTAATTGATCTGCATTTCTAGTCTATCCTCTATTACTATTTGGACCGCTATTCTCTATTCTATTTACTATACTATTTCTCTATTCGGATCATTATACGGATTACTATTCGAGCGAGTTTGGCGGAGCAAGTACTATTAGTGCGATTGATATTCGAAGGCATGTGACACCAGTATTGTTCAACGGCGTACTATAGTTGTGATTGCAAAGTCTCTACTACAACGAGCATTACGAAAGTGACAACGAATATTCGTTGACATTACAAAAATGCCAAACGAATGTTCGTTGACATCGCAAAAAACTATAAGGTTGAAAAAAATTAGTTTTGTAAAAAAAAATATGGGTTCTTTGGACCCATTAGTAGACTAAAGGTTAAACAAGTTTACTGAGTGTGAAAAATTGCTTTGATGTGTTGTAAGTTAGTAAAATGGCTTGTAGAGGAAAAGTATTGTAGCAAAAAGTTTCTTTTATAGCATCTTCTATGTGCCGTGTCCCTTCGGAACACTGGCGGTCATAGCTCTCCACAATCTCCTAGCTCTTAGTAAGCTTTGTCTTTCGTTATCACTCCCAATCCCTGTTCTGCCATACAAGCTCGTTAGGTTGTTCCAGAAACGAAATGTTGAGTGAGCTGCTTACCACCACTGATAACGGTACGCGCCTCTGTCGGTCAAAGAGACAATGTCTGGTGTGCTGCCTTTGTAAAAAGAAATAAAATGGCTGTCCAGCCAGAACAGAGCGCGTACGAACTCCGGAGCGTTTGGGTATGAAGATGTAAGATATCTACCAGCTCCTCTACGAAATAGTTGGGACGCTGAGATGAACGGTGTTAATGATTCGTTTTGGGCTCAATAAAAGGAGATAGATTTTTTGAGATGGGCACCGGGCCGTGCTGGGCGTATGAAATGATTGCCGTGCGATACTGAGGATTTATATCTGAGCTGCAGATATCCAACCAATAAGAAAAATAACCATCAGTATCACGCTCTGTCCTTTCTGCTTTCAATATACCCTGTGAGTGTTAACTTCTCCAGGTCCCTTTCCTCATTATATATCCTAGAAATTTAAACTCTCTTTTCTGATTGTAATTATAAGCTTCTTTCTTTTTACCATTTTCTTTAAAACTCCTTCGTTATTCACTTGTTAAATCCATCTGATTCTGTAGAACGACAGTTCTGTTACCTCAAGTCTTTCTCTGAGAAGATTGTCCAACATTCTCTGCCATAAAGGAGAAGTTATTGGGAAACTCCAGCCACTTCTATCCTATCTATTTTAGAAAACTGGCAGCCCTAACAAGGACTGAATTCCAAATAAGCAAAAACGGTATTTATTCATTCATTATGGCTTTAAAAACGAACATTTTATAATTATATACAAAAAATATATAAAACAGATTGGGAGGAAGATCAAGGATAAGAAAAAAATTACTCACTGTAAAATAGTGGATCAAAAAACATAACAATAAAAAAAAGGTCTAACCGGTTATCGCTCCTCAGAGATAATAAAGACCAAAACATATAAATATAGGCCCAACGGCTAAAAAAATGGAGTAAAACTATTTATATTAAGTCTAAGCAGCCTTCCCCTTGTAAGCAAAAAGAATGACTAGTGGGTTTAAATGTAATCTGTCTGTGATTTATACTGCTGATCCTATAGTAGTAATTTTTCTCCAATACAGTTTTTTGATCGTTTCACCCACAAACAAGGTGATAATGCCATTAGAATGCAGAGGGTGACATGGAGTGAAGATTTTCGTGGGGATGAGGAAATGATAAAAAAGGAACTATTCAAGAAAACAGAAGATCGTGACTGTCGTTCTATTTAAATTTTTTGAAGATTGTAGTTATCAGGTAAGCAAGAAATGAGAAGGGAGTTCCACAGAATCTCGAAATATACAGCATAAATAAGTGCTCAAGCAATTCATCTCAATGAGATAAGTCGCTTGAGGATTTATTAAATTACACACGATTGTTGCTTTAGTTATCTATTGAGCACTTTTTGACAAAAATAATATACAATAAATTCTAGTCACATTATTATTATTATTATTTTCTTTTCTTTGATTTCTGGTGTGTACACATCTCGTTCCGGGTCCCGCCCAGTGACCTAAGGTTAAAAATGGCATCAAGACATTTTCCACTGACAAATCTATCTATCTATCTATCTATCTATCTATCTATCTATCTATCTATCTATATAGATAGATAGATAGATAGATATTTTACATCGATAAAGCCCCTCGTAAAGTGTGGGCTTTTTTGTATTTCTTTAAGGCATGGGCTTCCAGGAATCCCTTCAATTAGTCTACTGAAATCTTTTTTAACCATTCGAAGGGTTCCAACTACAACATTTTGAGATTTTGATTTCAAGGGCCTTGTATTTTGATAGCTTTTTGAAGGTCTTCAAAGATACATTGCAGTCCGCAGGGACTGCCATATCAATAAGAAGGTATTTATTTTTTGTTTGCGATCTCTAATAACAATGTCTGGGCGTTTTTTTGTTGTTGTTGTTGTTCTTCTTCTTCTTCTTCTTCTTCTTCTTATTATTATTATTATTATTATTATTATTATTATTATTATAATAAATGTTCTTTTAATGGGTACATGTTATTTTAATGGTTTGAGTGGTCATTCCTGATTAAACAGTAAACTTAACGTCTGCCGACATAGATCATTGGAAGTCATTTTAAAGAGAATGTACTTTTTAGTAGGGATCGAAGTTCATTCTTTTTTTTTTCTCTGAGAAACTATTTTTTAATCAGAAATCCCTTACTGTTAGACTACGGGAGTCCTTATAGCACGACAAGAAATATACATCTCTGATTGAGTCTACTAACTTGTATTTCGTATTAGGAGTGTAAAAAAGAAGGAAATTAATGAATTATAAAAAAAAACGACAATATTTCTTATTGCGATAATCGTTGTTTTAGTGCGTATGACATCCTTGTTTATTTACAGACAGTGAAATGAACGTTTCCTGGCCTCAATCGCCAAAGGCTTATTAGGTTGGGGAGACGTTAATTTCATTAAGGTGCCGATTACAAGAAAGAAGGTGGTGACCAATGGAGACTTGCTCACAAGTACGTCAGGAGTCTTACATGCATAAATTCAAACTGATCTTGAAAGTAACAACCGTTGATTTTTTTTTTTTTTTTTTTTCAAAATTAATGTTTCCA